CATTGTTTTACATGTCATGATAATATGCAATTTTAACTCATTAAATATTTACAATAAATTTATAAGGTTATAAATATAACAAAAAAATTACATTATTTAGAGATAAAAATCAATCTGAAAGTATTCTATTGTATATAATCTTTCAATTATTCTCATATTATTTATGATTTAAAATCTGTATTACTTATATTCTTTAATACATGATTATTTTTAATTGAGAGAGGTAATGTATCGTACTTTTACAAAAAGAAATTTCTTTTTTAATTTAATTAAGTGTTATAACGGCAAAATGTCACGAATAATTCGATGATCAAATTTTGATGTGCATGCCTATTTTAAGATGCTACTAAATGCATCGTTTCTTTTTTATTGTCGATTAAATGATTGTCTACATGATTAAATTTACAGAATTTTTTATCTAATGACACATTTTCTTATATCCGTGTTTTATTTAGCATAAGAATCGATTGAGGAAAATGGCGTTTCTTTTCCGAAACAAAAAAAACTTCAATAAAGTAAAATTTCCTATTATTCTTTTATTCCGTAAAACATCAATAAAAAGCAGCATAGCCTTTAAACCGCAAAAATAAAAGAAAGTTTTTTATCGCTCTTCATTACGGGCAAACCCTGCTATTGTAATATGCCAAAAAAACAAAAAATTCTTTTTATATATAATTTATTCAAAGAAGAAAAAAGGAAAATGACAAATGAACATTATTAAACATCAACACGTTTTTCACATTGATTTCCAGTAAATTTATTTCGACATAAACATGCAACTTTATTTCCTCTGGCTACACATGTTCCCCCGTTTGTACATGGATTCGGGAAACAAGGATGAACACCTAAAAATATAAAAATAAAGTCAAACTAATTGTTCCTTGTTTTGTTTTTCTCTTACGAGCTTCACAAAAAACTCCAGTATAAATTTGATTACAATTACATTGAGCAAAACCATCAAAACCCAAATAACATGTACCAAAATTTCGACAAAGACTTTCATTACATTTACGTAAATCATACTGACACATACGTCCTGTAAACCCACGTAAACATTGACAACGATAATCATGGACAAGATCTATACATGTACCATTATTCATACATGAATCCATTCGACAATCATCAATATCTTTCAATTAGAATTTTAATTCATTCAGATTATTTTAATAAGAATATCTTACTAATTTCACAATATTTTCCAGTAAAACCTTTTGAACATTGACATGTATATGATGCAATACCATCAACACATGTTGAACCATGTTGACATGAATGACTAGCACAATCATTCCATTCTAAATAAAATAGCATAAAATATAAATATGTTATTTATTTATGTAAAAATAGTTTACTCATATCACATCGTTGTCCTTCATAATCAATTGGACAAATACATTTAAATGATGTAGCTGTATTAACACAAACACCACCGTTGAAACATTGAGGTGATGAACAACTTTTTTCCGCTAATTAAAATACGTACGAAGAAAATTATTTATATTCAATGAAAAGGATTTTAAAAAATTTGAATACTTCTTTCACATCGATGACCCATGAAATTATCTGAACATTGACAACGATAGGAATCTCCATCATCATGACATGTTCCATTATTTAACTTAAATTTATAATTAGAAAATAAGGTTTATACAAAAAATAGTGTAATACTTACACATGGATTATATTTGGCACAATAACTGCTCACTAAAAATAACTATTCGATAAAAATGAGTATATTAGAATAAATATTTTCTTCTATTAGACAAAGATCTTTTAGTTGATGGTAATTAGCTTTATAACAAGCAAATTTTTAAAAGAGAATTGTTATATCTTTTTTGTCATATATCTCACGTGCCTTGATCACATCGACGACCTGACCATCCTGTTCGGCATTTACATTGAAAACCACCACGTTCATTTGAAATACAACGACCATTTCGACAAGGATTATGTGGTGCACATGGATCCATTCGTGCTAAAAACATTTTAATGGAATTATTTTAAAATAAGAACTTAATTTTATTACCTTCGTTACAACTTTTCGCAGCAATAACACGATTTTGACATAAGCATACATATTTATCTTCTGGCATTGGAATACAAACACCTTCAAGTCCACATGGTTCTCCAGCACATGGAGAAGATTCAGATTCTAGAAAATAATCTCTCTTATTCACATTTGATAAGATCGTATACATACCTTCTTCACCATTTTCAACTGCTGCTTCTTTCAATAATAATGGAAGAAGTTCTTCCGGAACCAAACCAGTTACTAAAAACTTGATAATCATATCAATATTCTACATAATAAAACAAAATATATATCATACATGTTTCGCAATTAATTCCCGTGTAACCATATGGACATTCACATCCATATGAACCATAATTCATCACACATCGACCACCGTTTTTACAACTACATCCAACTTGATAAGCTAATAAATATTTCGAAAGAAAAAAAAATCATTCAAAATCAAATTTTTTTTTTTTTCTAAAACCAACATCTTGTACAATCTTCTTGCCAAGGTGCACAAATACAAGTAAAACCTTCTTTTGTATCAAGACATATTGTTCCATCTTGACATGGATTTTTTAAACAATCTTCATATCCTAAGCAAAAAAAAGGTTTTGTTTTTAATGACGAAAAAGAAAATATTTATATAATTAATAACCTCTTATTGAATCAAGATCACCTCCATTACACATATCTGATGAACACATACACCAATAAGTTTTCATATATGTTATACATCCATCAATAAGTAATTCTCGTGCCCAACGTTCTGTTGTACATTGTCGTTCATGAACTATAAATAAGAATTATAAACAATGCAAAAGTTTTAGAATAAAAAGCAAACTAGTTGCATTCGCATGTTTTGCTTTGATATAACAACGTTGTGTCCAATGACATGGTGTAACACATCCATCATCTGAATCTTTACATGCATAACAATGCTTATCATCATCAGAAACAGATAATTCTATGAGCGAAAAAAAAGAAAATTTTGTTTTTTATGTTATTTTCAAAAATACCAGATTCATGATTTGGTTTTTTCTTTATCACTGGTATTGAAAATATGATTTGTAAAAAGAAAATAATAATAATAAAACATCGGAAGATCTAGAAAAAGAAAATATTCATATATATTACGAACGAATTTTATGGAAGCAAGAAACGTACCATCATTCATACATTGAACTTTATCTTTCGTTATATCCTTGTTTTATGAGCTTGATTATATCGTTTATGTAAGGGTGATTATGTTTATGTGTGGCCAAACATCTTCATTGAACAAACAACAACGTACATACCTATTGTATTGTGTGACATTTTCACTAAACGTTCTCTTTATTCATATACACTCCATAGATTAGAACAGGATAAGATTAAATAACACCATTCTTCATCATCATCATCACCGTATTGTTGCGTTGAAGTGAGAATGAGACAACATATGAGCACTACTACTACTACTACTCATTCAGCCAGACAATCAAAGCCTCTCAATCTCATTATTACTCAACACATTTTCAATCAATAAAGAATATTTTTAAATTAAATTGAATACATAAACGTTCTTATTTACAATCATATTATATATATATATATATATGTTGTTTGTCTTTTCATCAATTGTCAATAAGCTATTATTACAAGCTAACTAATTAAGATTTGGACAAAATTATTAAGTTCTTTTTGATTGATATTTGCCGCCTTTTACAATATATACATGATAGGAAAAAAAATGATATATCTAACTCGTCTGCTATTTCTACCGACTTCTTTTTACTTGATATTCTATCTTGAAAACGAACGAACGAACAGAGAAGAAGACGATATATGTATGATCTATAGTCTCATCATTGAAACGGATTGGTTGTTAATATTTATATGATAGAAATAAATATATCACTTATATGAGATACAAGAAAAGGAAAAAGCCAATCGTAGAACGATGCGAAATTAGTATTGTAGAATGAGAGAATAACTTCTATACAACAGACAGAATAAATGATCATTTGAATGATAATCAAAGTTACTGAATATCTATGTAAGAATGATTATGGTGAGAAGATTGAGTGTCATTTACACAAGTAATTTTTCATATAGTATAAAAATCAGATTTTTTTCTTCAAATAAAATACAAAGGTTTTTTTGAGAAACTACTAAGAAATATATTATCGAGTAGAAAAATATCCACTGATAGTAGATAAAATTGATTATTTATCAATATGAGTATCTAATCGATAACATTGACAATCATTTTGAAGAAACAATATTTTTACTATATTTAGTCTAGTATAAAAATGGATTTATCCTATCAAAATCCGTATCATTATAATCATGAATGGCCGTTAACATCAACATCTGATACTTTTCCATTATATCCTTCCCAAAATCATTCAACAACTTGTTATAATATATCGTCTTGTCCGCCACCACCACCGCCACCATCTTCATCCTCGTATTATGATTATTATACTCCATCGAATTGTTATCCATCAGCAACAGCTAATACCTGTTCAACACATTATAATACTTATCCATCATTCACACAGCATACTACTACTACTACTCCTCCAACAGGTCCTTCAACTCATGCAAATAGTATTTCTGAGTAGGATAACTTAGTTTAATTATTAAACATTAATTTTTTCTCATTAAGATTAACAAAATCTAATAGTGAAACAATTTCTTCGAATATTATTTATCCATGGATGAAAAAATTACATGTTAAAAATCTCGTTCAAAATACTGATGGTACTGAAACATATAAACGTATTCGAACAGCATATACACGTAGTCAAATTCTTGAACTTGAAAAAGAATTTCATTTTAAAAAATATTTAAATCGTCGACGACGAATTGAAATAGCACGAACATTAATGTTAACTGAACGACAAGTTAAAGTAAATTTCATTATTTCTTGTTTTTTTTAAACTTTTCTTGATTATTATAGATTTGGTTTCAAAATCGACGTATGAAATGGAAAAAAGATCATAATCTACCAAATACAAAATCAAAATTAATCGAAACAACAATTAAACAAGAACTTCAAGATTAAAAATTTTGTTTTTTTTTTTTTCATTTTGTGTTTTTGCTTTTTATCTACGATCTGGATTGTTCATTATATATGTACACGTTTTAAACATATGTAAACAACACGCACACGTTACTTGTTCTGTTCTATCATTTGTCGTACAAAAAACAAGGAAACAGATATCATTGACACAGAAGCGGAAAGAGAAAGTGAGAACGAAAGCGACGTGATCTCAGTTGATAAATTGATACACATCTGCTATCATCACAATTCAAATTTAAAAGAGAAATCAGTGTTTTGATTAATGAGTTTTTATTCGACCTTTTCAGATTAAAAAGCGAATGTCAATATGTTTTGATTAAATACAATGATATGTTTATCATTTAAGAATATTTTATCGAACAAACGAAAGAAACAAATAATTTTCTTGAGAAAAATATATATACATTGTTTCCGAGATCAAAGAAATGGCGCTATACATTCATACTATAACAATAAAATACTCTAATGAAATAAATATTCTACGTTTGATTATGTAGTTTTTAATAATTCCATTCATCTTTTCCTACTGATAACGTACGGTAATTATTACACACATCTTCATAGATTAATAATATATCACAAAATAGTACGTTTCTTTTATAATCTATTAAATTAACAATACAAGTGTTACATTTATATTTCTACATATATTTTTTTTATTAACAAACAAAAAATGATAAAACAAAAAACTATACATTGGAGGGACTAGAAAAGAGTATTCGTTTTTAAAATAGTTAATTAACTTAATTCCAATAAATAATTTGCATATGCTATATCGTCGTTTATAATAGAACATAGAAGATCTTTGGATATAGAATGTTTTATTGCATTCATAACACCTAAATAAATATGAAAAATAAATATATTAAATATCGTAGAAATTTACCATCAGCTGTAGCTAAACAAAAAGAAAATTAGGAAAAATAATTTTTGAAAGTACAACATACCTTTTGCATTAGCATATGTCTTATCAATACGATGTCGATAGAACATCCATTGTTTATTTTGATAGGAACATTCAATGATTTTGTTATGATATTGTTCTAATTTCGAAGAATAAGGCATTGAACTGAATGGTTCTCTCATATTATTCAAATATAGAAGAGCTTCTTTTTCGTGTGATTTTCTAAAAAAATTAGATAGTTTAATATTTAAAATAATAAATAAATACCTTTTATTAGCAATTATCAATTGAAAATCAATTGTATTATCTGTTTTCCATTTTAATATTCGCCAAGATCGACCGGATATGTAAGGCTATATAATAATTCATATATCATATTAAATAAATGTGGATTTCTACTTACATCATTAACCGGTTGAAATATAAGTCCATCACTTTCATGAAGAAGTTGTGATTGAAATTTATCACCGAGTAACTATAATAATTGTATTAGTTACTTGAAATCTTAAAAATCATTTCTATTTTCTTACTTCCGAAACTGCTGATAGATCCCAAAAATCTTTTGCACGTATTGAAAATGGTTTGGAACGGTCATCAATATGACCCTTGATTACAGCTTCGTTTCTAACTTTAATAATATTTTGATATTTTTCCATGCGTTTTGTAAATGATTGTTGACTGACATTTTCATTCTACATAAAAAAGATTTATTTTAATTAATTTAATAAATTTTCTTGTACATACATTATAGTATACGATATCATAAACTAAATATCGATAAATCTCTTTGTTATCAACCTTATCAATCACAAATTCCTAAAATGAAAAGAATTCGAATAAATTTAATATATTATTAGATAACATACGCCATCAAGAAGTGTATTCTCTAAATGATTTGTACAATCTGGGACTTCTGGAAACCATAGATACTTTATTTGAAATACATCATTATTACGATCGATCATATAGATATTATTTTTATCTTCGATTAACATCATATATCTATAATTGAAATATATCAGGTAAAATATTAGAAATATGTTTTTTATTTTACCTAGTACCATCTGCTTTCCAACTGACTTTATAAGGTGTTTGCAAAATCATTCTATAATTGTTAGAATCCATAGATACAGGTTGTGAACCTGGGAAACTTTGTCTATAAATAAAAACTAGCTTTTAAAACTATTTTTTTTAACAAAATTACCGATCCCATGTGCACATTCCTTGGCATTTTGATCGAATACGATCTAGAGTTGATTTTGAATCGATAGGTATAACATTAGCAAGTTTAACAGCAAATTTTGGACAAGATTTCTAAAAAAAATTTGATTTAAATAACACATAAGATTTTTCAATAAATAATATAAATATTACTGTGTATATTTCATGTCGAGTTCGTTTTCTGTCATTTTCAGAATTAGTATCATCACGTGGTCGTTTATTTGTAGTTGATTTAGTTAATCCAGCTACTTAAAAAAATAATACTAAAACTGTATAAAAGGAAAAATAAATCTTTACTTGAACACCATGTTGGTAGAGATGGTGCACGTCTTGATTTAATGCTTTCATCACCGTACTTTTGAATAAGTTTGTCTAGATAGATTTGACTAAAAATTCCTGGTGATCGAGCAGTCGCAAATAGATCGATAGCTTTATCGATCCTTAAAAATTAAAATACAATTAATTTTCCAAACTAAACTATTTCTTCATGTTTTCATGCCTCATGTTACTTTCTTGACAAAGATAAGCACAGATAAAAAATCCTGCTCGATTGAAACCATATGTTGAATGAACACCTTTGCAATTATAAAATTAGAATATGAAACAAATATAAAAAAAATAAAGTATACCAATAATATCATTTGGATTAGTATTTTTGAAATCACGACATATGTCAATGAATCGTTGAATTTGAGTATCCTTTGGCATTTCATCATGGCTATAAATATATATGTTAATAAGACATGACTAGAGAATTGTGACATTCTGTTTAGTTTATAAAAAAATCTGATAGTTATTTATTCAATTGATAGACGAATTTACGAAAATGTTTCTCTTATACAATTTACATTGATTAAGTTTATGATTGCTCTTCTCTTATTTCATTATTGAATCCAAGAAAACAGAGTTATAGACTAATCTTATTTGATATTACTCGAAATCGATTTTTTTACAACATTACAAGTAAAATTTCGATTTACTTTTTTTAGAAGCTTATCTATTGAATTCTATGAACTATATTCCATCAGATATATGTGGAAGATAATTCTTACCCATGACACGGAATATTTTCATAACGTATATATTTTTTAATATATTCAGTTTCAATTGTATAGTATGGTGTTGTATCATTTAGGTCAATGACAAGACCGAGCTTTTTCTATATATGAAGAAAGAATAATTTTATATTCAACTACAACTAATTTTTACATTATCATCTTTGATATTCTGAATTAACATTTTACATAACCATTGCTGATGTATTGGAACAATATCTTTATTTTGATCTACTATTGGCATTTTAAATGCAACAAATTTTCCTATATATATTTAAATGTAAAATTATTTCAAATTAAAAGATTCACTGATGTATACCATCAATAATCTGTGATTTTCTTGGACAACCAAGCCATTTTGGTATTATATCTTCTGCATCATGTTTTGTAGTTAATGATGAAAATAAGATAGGTTTAGCCATCTAGAATACGAAGTGAAAGAAGTTTGTAGTAATGATGAAAGAAAACGTTTGATACTATTTCATGCAGTATATATACACGAGAATGTGTTGGATTTTTCCTGTTCTTTCGCAAGAGAATGATGTCATGATGAGTAATATAGCCTCTCTGTCTATTGGTAGACCTTTTTTCATTATTGTCAAACTTTTACCTCTAAAAATAATTTGTATCGAGAAAATGAGACAATTACTTTTTAATTATCAATAATCTAGCGACAATCTTTTCATACAAATTCTCTCCTGATTTATTATAATTTTGTTCTTTTTAATTTTTGTATATGAAATCATATATACCTTGCATATTTTTTCTGTTGGGTTTTAGTCTCTTTCGTTTCTTTACTTTCTCGATTTTGTCGTTTCTTTTTTCTCGTTCTTGTTTAGATTACTAAATTGTCTTTTGTGTTTGTTTCGTTCTTTCTTAGTCGTATCTCGTGTTGTACTATCGTATCACAAATTCATTCATCTCTTTAGTAAAATCAAGTGCGACTTGAACAATGTCTTCAAATGAAAACACTAAACCTTCACGTATAAAACTATTTCGAGTATAATATTTATCTTTATAAATAAAATTATTTTATCCTAGATTCGAATAGTAATGCATCTCAGAAACGTATTAAAGTAACTAATCCAGTTGTTGAATTAGATGGAGATGAAATGACTCGTATCATTTGGGCTTGGATTAAAGAAATGGTTTGTATTTTTTTATTTATTTTATATCGAAGATAAATTATACATTTCTTTTTATAGCTTATCTTCCCTTATGTTGATGTTGAATGCAAATATTTTGATTTGGGTCTTGAAAATCGTGATGCTACTGATGATCAAGTAACTGTTGATGCAGCACATGCTATTCAACAATATAATGTTGGTATTAAATGTGCAACAATTACACCCGATGAACAACGTGTTGAAGGTAAAAATAAATTGATTTCTATTGTTGGTTTTTATTTCAATTTGTAGAATTTAAATTAAAAAAAATGTGGCTTTCACCTAATGGCACCATTCGTAATATTCTTGTAAATCAAATTCAAAAACCAAAAAAAGAATATGAAAACATAAACTTTGATCTATTTAGGGTGGTACAGTTTTTCGTGAACCCATTATATGTAAAACAATTCCATTGTTAGTTCCTGGTTGGAAAGAACCCATTATAATTGGTCGTCATGCATTTGGTGATCAATATCGTTGTCAAGATATGGTTATTAAAAATCCAGGACGTGTTACACTTAAATATGTTCCAGCTGATGGTTCACCAGAAACAGAAGTTGAAGTATATAATTTTAAAACTACCGGTGGTGTTACATTAGCTATGTATAATACTGATGAATCTATAACTGGATTTGC